CTTTATTGCACATTTTAATCCATTAGGTAAATGTATTTTTCTTAGAGTAATGTATGCACTACTAATGTGTCTGTGGAACACTTTCCCTTATTCCCCATATTCTGTAATATCACAGTTCTGCACTGGGCAGTCCCAGTAAAGTTAATTCTCTAATAGGTTATTACTGTTGTTACTAATAACATATTTACAACCGTGTTTACCTCATAGGGTGATAGAGAGCCATGGACAAGTGAGGCTTGGAATGGTGAGTGAGTTCTGCCTCCTTCCTACAGTACCTTTTGCTTCACTCATTATCTGTATGTTTCTGAACCACATAGTAAAATTGTTCTGGCTCAGTGACAGTCTACATTGTCCACTTACACTCGTTTCTCCATAAAGAAAAACACATGATTACCACAGTAATTTCCCACCCAGACCAAAATACCCAATTGTACGTTTGGTTAGAATTGTGTATATAATTGTTTTGATAGATTTGAGATAATGTCATCCAGGGTTCCAGCTGCTGTGATTTGATACCCTAACCCACTGACGTCACAACTGCTACGGTGGAGAGTGAGGGTCACATTAATCTCAGCTGGTACACATGTAACTGCTGGATGTAAATCTGGCCTTGTTTTTCTGCCAAACCCAAAATTATATATATATAAAAATAAAAATAAAAAGTATTAATATACGATAGAAGTCATGAATATCAGGCCAGTAATGACTCTTCTGGTGGCAAACACAGCTCAATTTGAAGGCACCTTTAAGATAAGTCAGTTACCCAATATTACTTTTATTTGTAGTATTAGTAGTTCATTGTTAAACTGTTATGTTGAGTGAGTGCACAGGAATGGTTTTGGTATGAGAACAGTGCTACGAACCACTTTAGACACCCAGTGTTAGCATAGCATTAAGTGCTGTATAGGGAGTGGTGTATTTTGCTATGAGGAAAATAAACTCTGCTGTTAAGAATGTATCATTAACTTCAGTATATTATGGGATGTCCTGTGCTCTAGATGCGTCACCTCTATGTGGTCATTGACTGTTCAAGGAGTATGGAAGACCAGGACTTGAAACCGAACCGCCTCACTTCTACTCTAAAGGTAGATTCAGCAGCACAGCCGTCACACTGTACACCAGCAGCCCTACCGTAGGATTACCCATAAAGCACCATCTCCTTTCTTCTTTCCTCTTCAGCTGATTGAAGCGTTTGTCGATGAATACTTTGACCAAAACCCCATCAGTCAGGTATGTGCATGTTTTACACTAGACTGTATTGAGACTTCACATTTAAATCCCTTCAGATTTGGTTTAAACACAGCAGATTCCAATGAGTTCATTAGAGAAAAAGTCATATTCTTGCATAAAGATACAAGTAGTGAGTGTAGGTCTGCACCGGCCAGGATTGTTACATTTTGTTGTGATGGGGAACTTGTAAGTTTAAGCTGTGGAATGGACCTTTAACAATATGTTATATGACATAACACTGTGTGTGTTGTGTCTTCAGGTGGGCATTATCACTACGAAGAATAAAAGGGCTGAGAAGCTGACTGACCTGGCAGGTGAGGATCACTTTAACTGCTCGTGTTAGACTCCACTCCTCAATGTGATGCTTGAAGGAATGCTTTGTCTTTCAACTTCAACATATATTTGTTCTTCTTGAGCTCCATGTACTGTACAGAAAATTACTTTTATTTAGTTTCTGTTGACTTTGAATGAAGTTAAGTTACGATGATCCACTAAAATGACCGTTGTCAATGGAGTCTGGTTGCGAGCAATAGTGATATAACAGCTGTTTCTGGTTAAACAAAAAGTTCTATCACTTTAGGGATCCTTTCCATAATGTTGGCAGACAGTCACATAACAATCAGAGCCAGTCAGGGGCAATAACAAGCACTGTTAGTGGACGTACTTGGACATTGCAGCCATTGTAGCTTGTTTCATGACTGTCTTTTTACCAAACCAGAGTTGGTGATTGTAGGAACAGTTGAACGACTAACAAAGATGGTTTTGGTTATTTAGTTTCTGTTCACTTTGTTATTTGTTTTCAAGTTATCTAGAATAACCTGTAAGGTAAAGTTACTACTTTTGTCTATGGAGTCAGGTGGTGAGTGATAGTGATATTACAGCTGTTTGTGGTTAATGGTCTTTCTCTGTAGAGATCCTTTCTATAATGCTGTCAGACACCTAACAATTTGAGCCTGGCAAAAACAGTGGCAAAAACAACAACTTGTGCTTTCATTCTGAAATCACATATAAACTTGAGCCATCCATCAGAAAGTGAAAGCTCCACTGGTGTCTGAGTAAGGTGTACCTCTTTAGCTTGGTCTCTCTCTGATGCCTCTCCTGCCAGCTCCACAGCTGTATCACTCTGAACGTTCTGCTCTCCAGTCTGACCATCTGTGTTGTGCTCCTTCCTCTCAGCTGACTCTGGCTGCTCCTCATCCTCACCTGCTCCTTCCTCCTCCTCCTCCTCCTGTAAGCATTACAACAGTGAAACAACAACAAAACCATGTGTGTGGACAAATGTGTTCATCACACATACTTCACATGTACATACACACCTTTGGTTTGTGTCCTTTGTCATCTGGAACAGTCCGATCTTCATCTCTTCCTGCCTCCTGTCCTCTCTCCTCCTCTTCATCTTTCTCAGCTGACTCCTCGTCTCCCTCCGCTTTCTCTTCTCCTCCCTCCTGCTCTTCCTCCTCTTCGACCTTGGGCTCCTGACCGTTCTCTTCTCCTGGTTGATCTGTCTGGTCTTCCTCCATCTCCTCTGCTCCCTCCTCCTCGTCTCCATCTTTCTGCCCTTCCTCTTTCTCATCCAAGGCAGTGGCTTTCTCATCGATGTCAAATGGATTCTCCTCTGCAGAGAGTTCACTCAGCTGATTTAAATGCTAAAACAAATACTCCGCCCTGCCATCTTTAAAGGGACCGAATGGTGAGTTTATGTAGCTGCCATTACCAAATGACACGATGGTCATCACAACAGGAAGCCTCTTTCTACAGTTAATGCTACAGCTTCTCAAAATTACACATTTAACAAATGATGTTGCTTCTAGAGCTGAAACAATTAATTGATTAATTGATTAATTGATTGGTAGATCGTAGATTGGTAGAAACAGAAAATGAAATGGCAAATGTTAGCTGCAGCTGTGTCAAAAAGGACATTTGTTTTTCATTATGGGAAACTTATTTTCCTATTGACCACCTGCTGTCACCTGCGGTACAGAACAGAGCCAGAGGGCTCAGTAGTGCTGAAATGATTTTTACTATTTATCGAAAAATTTATTGAAAGCAATTTTGATGTCCGCAGTTCTAACAGACTTTTTTTTTTTGAGTTTGATTCATTTCATTGTCAATTTGTCTGTTCTGATAACTAATAACAATCATTTGTATGTGAGAGAAGAATGCTTAGAGAGTTACATTTTTCATTTGAACTTCAAAGTTAAGTCAACTTCTGTTTTCAAAATAACTCAAAGATATATCAATAAATATTTTTTGTTGTTTAATGAGGTTATTTGTCATTTATTATTAATATTTAATTATACGTTTTATTCACATTACTATAATGTCTTTTGAGGTTAGGGAGTTGAATGTTTGTGTATATATATTAACATTAATATGTTGTATATTATTCTGGTTAACAAATGATCAGATAACATTAAATAGAAATAATGGCAATAATCGGCCTTTGAAACAGTATGAAATGCACTGTGGAGGCCAGTTAGGAAGCGATGTCATAAACTGTCACACCTGGTTACAACTTAGCTTTTAGACTTACAGTATGTCTACACTGAAACTCTCATCAAACATTCTGCTACATTCCTTTCCAACTGCCTGTGTATTATCTGATGTCACTGCTGTACTTTACTTCAGTAAAAACATAGTAGTGTCAGAAACCAATAACTTCGGTTGCAAAATACAATCTATGTTCATTAACAAAAAAATGGGATGAGAAATGGTCATATATGCACAACAGTAACACTGGATTTTGCATGTGTTCATTTAGCTGCAGGTCTCACCGTCACCCTCGCCCTCTCCATCGTCTCCGGCCTCGTCGTCCTGGTCCAGGTTTAGATCCTCGGGCAGGTCCATGGCCTCGGGCTCAGGTCTCTTGTCCTGCTGACCGTGGTAGGGGTCTACTTCGTTCTCATCAAACTCCCTCTGGAAAACAGCAAAAGCACAGTTCAGACAGACGAAAGCCATAAAATCATTTGTGAAATGTTGAAAAGGAAGGAAGGGTTATGACCTCATCTCCTTGTTCATGGATTTTCTCTTTCTCCTCCTCGTCCATCTGTTCATCTTTGTCCTGGTTTTTCTTGTCTTTGTTGGGGTCCGCAGCATCCAAGTTGTCATCTTTAGCAACCAGCTCTGATTCACCCTGACAGAATCCAGTGTTGACAGAAAATGAGGGCACATTGACAAAAGGGACATCCGAAGACTCACTTAAAAAGAGCAGATAGAAACCTCTGATAAGCTCTGTGGTCAGTCTACTGTACCTGGTCCATGCCCTGGCCAGACTCTTCCTCCTTGTCACTTCCTTCCTCCTCATCGTCCTCATCGTCCCCCCACATTCTCTCATCCAGAGTGTCTGTCTGTCCTTCACCCAGGTCACCCATCTTTTTATCCAGCTCCTCCTCATCCTCTTTAGAAGACTCATCATCTTCACCTGCAAAGGATTCAAAGAAGGACAACTGAAAGTCATATATTAGAGGATCCTCCTCCAATATATTGATCCTCTGCGTTTCAGCAACAAGTGCTCCGACTCTGCTATGGAGGGCCAACAGAGGTGGTATTGTAAAACATTTATTGTATGTTACATAGTTTGGTGAAAAGTTGTGTCAAAGTCATAATGACAAATCAGATTCCAGACCAGCAAAGTAAAAATCATCTGGTTTGTGAAGAATGTAAATAATTGTAATATCATTCATTCATAATTGTTTAATGTTAATAATCTCATAATACTGAGAAGTTTATTGTATTTGCTTTATTTGATATATTTTTAAGTCCTGGAGTTAGCAAGAATGCTAATTAACATCGGGGACACATAAGGTTAGACAGTTCAAGTTACCTTGTTCATTCTCATCCCCATCATGCATCTGGCCATCAAAGTCCTCTGACATTTCGATAGCGTTGTCCTCTGCCTTGATGTTCCCTTTATCCTGCTCTTCTTCCTTTTCCTGACCCTCCTGGAGAGTGTCTTCCACCTGGAAGGAGAATGCAGGGAACATTTTATGAGAAATGTTGGCTAGGCTCTAATAAAGTCCCAATATGCATGTCGTAGTATAGTTTATGGAAAAATAAGATCTCAGAATGCTTCTAGTGCCACTTTTCCCAGAGCTTTTAACCACATCTCATGAACAAACCCAGCTAATGGGGCAGTGAAATGCAGTTGAAAGCTCCAGAA